AGGGGGGGGATCTGCTGTTACCGTAATGTGAAGAGCAGATTGTCGTTTGCTGTTTATTTGTTTTTTTTTCACTTTTTTTTTGGGGGGGGGGTGGACGGGGCGGATCTGCTGTTACCGTAATGTGAAGAGCAGATTTTCGTTTGCTGTTTATTGACAGGAAAGTACGGAAAAAAGAAAGGTTCGCTGGGATGCGAGATGTTGGCTGGCTGCGATATGCTCATCCTAGATGGGAGTGATCCTTTTTTTTTGGGGGGCGGGGGTATGTAATTCTCTGTAGAATCTGTGAACTCCAAACTCTTCCACCACTGCCAATTTTCAGCAGTGCCCCTCGTCAGGAATGCCAATTTCCAGCAGTGCCCCTCATCAGGAATGCCAATTTCCAGCAGCAGTGCCCTCATCAAGTGCACCAATTTGCACGATTGCCAATGGGCTTTGCTCCACTACCTGCCTGAACAATGGGAAAAAAAAAAGTTGAGGATGAATCTTCCGCTAGAACATGTAAAAAACTTGTCACCCGTTGTCCTCCAGACCCCTCTGCTTTTGAATGTATGGGTGATGCAAACCGCACTGGATGATTCAGACTATGACCAGATCCAGTCCATTGCTCGCTCAATTGAGAATACGACCAGGGAGAAATGCAAGCTTAGCTGTTACTTTGAGCGCCTGCATCGGGCACTCCATGGGGCACTCCATTGGCAAATCCACGTCAACTTATTCAACGACATATGGAAACGCTTGCATCACACACACACACACACACACACACACACACACACAAAATGTGATTTGATTGCACTAGCAGTCATGCCATTGGGTATCCATGGTTGAGTGGGTGTGTGGACTGCGTTTTATGGCTGTTTCTCAGACTTACTGCCATGCTTGTCAGGGGTTTGCACGAACAGTCTGCTAGGATTGCAGGGTTGCTGTGCGTACAGTCGACCACGTGTTTATGAGGGGTATCCATCAGTCAAATGAATCGTGGGCAGACTGTCGGTGTTCAAGGTCCTGATAGGTATGCCTTTATGTGCAGAGTTGTGTACAGCAAACACGACTCCACATTTGTGGAATTGTGTATAGCAGACATGACAAACATTTGCGGAGCTGTGTATAGCAAACATGACAACACGCACACATTTGCATGCACACATACACACACTCGCCGAAAGTCCGTGGAAAGTCTCTCGCACAGTCCATTTGGAGTTGTGTGTGGTGAATGTAACACACTTGCATACACACACACAGACATTTGCATGCAATCAGTGAAAATCCAATGAAACGGTTTGGCACGGTCATGCTCTTGTTGTGGAGCGCACACATATTTGAATGCACGCCTGCAGTCACATTTACATACACACACATTTGCACCCGAAACCCCGCACCCACCCACCCATAGATTTGCATGCCCGCCGCTTCCCCCCCCCTTCCTTCTTCCTCTGCAACACACTGCATACACCCACCTATCAACACACTCACATTTGCATGCACCAACCCCCTGCACCTTTGCATGCACCCACCCACCCACACATTCACATTCGCATGCCCCGCCCATCCCACAGCTTCACGCGCACCCACCCATCCACACACTTATTACATTTGCATCCTAATCCCCCCTCACATTCACACGCATCCACCCACCCACCCACACATACATTCACAAGCACCCATCCCACACCTTCATGCGCACCCACCCATCCACACACTTACATTCGCATGGAAATGCCCTCCTGCACATTCGCACACATCCCCCCACCCACACATACCTTCACAAGCACCCACCCAGCCACCACACATACGTTCACATGGACCCATCCACCCACACCCCCATGCTCACACACACACACACACACACACACACACATATCATTTCAGTTCAATGGCCAGAGATGAATATAAAGTCCAAAGAGCATCCTGATGTCCTGAATATGTGCCTCATAATCTCACTACTCGCTATGTCCGGGAACATCTCTGAAGGTACAAAGTACAGAGTCCTCCTTCGATCAATTCATAAGTTAATGAACCCCACACATCGGGTCGTAACAAGTATGCACCCTCCCACCCACACACATGCCCGCATGCACGCACTGATGACCCATACCACACACTCAGATGCGCCCCCAGACACACATCCGTGTGCAGGCTTTGCTTTGCCTAGGCTCCTGATGCCACCATACAGGGGTATTTTCCTTCCTTTCCATGCCACGCCTCAAATCATCTCAACCTCCATATGTGTTTTGCATTGATTGACTCTGAGCTAATTACGACCATTGAACACACTTGGTGGACAAACACAATTTATGTGAAGCTAAAGTAGCAGCTATATTTCCCTACCTCCTTTAATTCCCAACCTCTATAGATTTCCCTCTTCCCGGGATGTGCTGTATATCTACTGGAATCTTCGCCTCCTTTCTTCTTTCGTAACTGTTCTGTGTCTGTTTCAGTTCCTCCTTTTTCCTTCTCATGCTCTGTTTAAAAAAAAAAAAAAAAAAAAAAAAAAAAAAAGATCAATATAATTGAATAATTCAGAGACAGTGTTTTGAGGCCGGGAACCTCACAATTCAACCCACGATTATCTCCTTTTTTTTTTTTTTTTTTTTTTTTTTTAATCAATTCAACCCACGGCTATCTTGGGATCATTACCCAGTTTACATTACGAGCAATTGCTCTCTGCAGAATCCATTCAGTCCAGGAGCTCTCTAATCCTATCTCCCCTATCTTTGGCCTTCTATGCTCCTCCCAGCGTCTCCAGCTGTTGGCTAGCTGTTGCCTATTCTTGAGACCCCAGAGAACCCCTCCCCTCTACCTATTCCACCGCCTTATGTTATCGCTAGCTGGTCTTAAATTCTTAAACTCTAGAGTCTAAACCCTGGTAGGAGTTATGGCTAACTGTTGTCCTGAATTCTTAAGCCGCAAGTACACGGCCCCAGTCTTGCAGAAAGTTTTTCTCGCCAGAATCGAAACTCGGAGGGACCGTGTGGCGTGGGGCGCCGTTGAAAAGAAATATCGATCGGTTATCAAAGCTATGTACTTGGAGTTATCTTTTTCATCCTTCCATCGGATATCAAAGCTATGTACTTGGAGTTATCTTTTTCATCCTTCCATCGGATATCAAAGCTATGTACTTCCCTCCCACACACCCACACCTTCCATCGGATATCAAAGCTATGTACTTCCCTCCACACACCCACACTGTATGTCATCCTTCCATCGGATATCAAAGCTATGTACTTCCTCCACACACCCACACTGTGGGTCACACACACAAACATGTTCGCACCTACACATTTGCATACCCCTGCACCCATTTGCATGCACACGTACATGCCCCTGCACCCATTTGCATGCACACGTACATACCCCTGCACCCATTTGCATGTACATGTACATACCCCGGCACCCATTTGCATGCACACGTACGTGCCCCCACACACATTTGCAAGCGCACAAGCTTCCCCCTGCACCACACACGTTTGCATGCACATGCTGTCCCCCGCCCCCACCCCTTGTTTGCATGCACATGCCCCCTCCCCCGCCAACATACATTTGCATGCACATTGCACACGCACAACCCCACGTACACACGTTTGTGTGCATATCCACTACCCACATACACGCATTTGCATGCATATGAACACACACCTGCACATGCACAGGTACACGGTACACTCGTTTGCGTGCACACGCATGGGAGCACACACATTTTCATGCACATGCAGACACATGGTGCAAGCATATGTGCGCAAATCATGCACACACACACACACATGCAGACATACACGCACGCACAGATTTGCATGCACACGCATACACACATCATTTGCATGGACACGTGTATTTTGCACACCCACACATACACACACACACACAGTCTGCTTTATTATATGTATGTCTTCTTCGCTATTTTCCAAGTACATCCTGGTTGTTCAAGCGAGTACGTCGAAGTAGTGCTACATAGTTGGTGGTCGCTTGTCTCGAGTTGTCCGCAAAACTATTAGGCGGTCACTCTGTTTGGGATGTGTTTGGGATGCAGTTTCCATGGTGATGACAGAAGATTGTCGGAGAGGCTTCCTAGCTCAGCACGAGGTGGAATCCATCACAGTTTACTTGTGATGGATTGCTTCGGTCGTCGGATCTGTGGACTGTCTTGTCTGCACTCGCCCACTGCCTTGCTGCCCACCAGCTTGCCACCTCTTTCCCTGCAGCATGTTCATTTGCAATGTCGTTTGGTTGCCTTGCCAGTGTTGCTTTATCCCTCACTAGATTGTTGCCTTGCTGCTGGATTTTTGCCTCGCTGTGCATCCGCATGCCTTGCCTTTCTGTGCACTTTGTTTGTGTTCAGTGTAGTTTGGCTGCTTTATCAGCGCAGCCTTGGGCTTTGCTGTGTTGTTGCCTTGCTGCCCGTCTTCTTGGGCTGTCTTGTCCGTGCAGATGGGAAGCACTGTACTTGTGTGTTGTGTAGCCTGGCTGATTTGTTAACGCTGCCTTGTGCTTCGCTGCAGTGTTGCCTGGCTGCTCATCTGCCTGCCTTGCCCTGCTTTTCTGTGCAGCGTTGCCTTGTAGATTGGCTTCTTCGTCAGCGCCGCCATGCGTCTCACTTTGTGTTGCTTGGCTGCTTGTGCTGCAGTCAGTACACTTTCAACAGGGTCATCGTATTTTTTTTTTTTTTTTTTTGTTTATGACAGACAGCCATGAAAGTGTAATTATAGGGGTGTACAAGTTGTCACATCTGCATGGCACAGGCTGGTACACCAAATGTGCTTAAGACTACCCATAACACCAACAACGCATTACACACACTTTGCCATCATACCAGAAATTAACCTACTAACCAAGATTCTGCGCAATCTCTCTTATCGCTTGTCATCAAAAGATGAAGGCAATCTAATTCTCTCATAACGAATGTGTTTACAATTAATCATAACAAAGTTGTTTACAATTAACACCACCCATAACTTTGCTGTAGCCATCCAAAGACAAAGAAAAAGAAAAGAAAAGCTCATCCTCTTCACCAAACTCCTGAGTCCTTACAATTATGACAGCATCAGATGCCATTAAGAGTCCTTGTGCTGTCCATCCTCTGCGACAAAGAGCGGTACCCAACTTCAAATTCTCTGTGCAAGCTCTGCTGGCTGCATCACTTGCCCAGCAAACACCACAGACAAGAGAAGAGATGGTGTGTGTGCACTCCTACCGCAATAACTGTGTTGCCAACTTCGTCGCAATGACCCTACCAAATGCGGCGGCCACTGCGGCGAAGTTCATCCCACAAAGACGTCTTGTGAACTCCACCAATCCCTGCCCGTGCGGCGGCCCACTGCGGCGAAGTCCTTTGCCTACCAGGTGAGAGTAGACGTGTGGGATAGCAACCCGGTCTTCACATCGAGGTGCTGGCAGACTCAGCCCCAAAGCAAACAGCACAGACAGGAGATGTTGGCCTCATATGAGTCAGCTGACTCATATCACAATAAAGTCTGTTTTCTTTTTCCTTTTTTTTATCAATAATCGTAAAAAAAGCTGCAACACCATCAAATGCCCCCGTCATTTGACGCACGTGTTTGCACTTTGCTGAAAGCACTTGTTTCCTGTCTGTGTGTTGGTGGACAGTGTCGAAAGCCCTTTGCCGGCCTAGTGAGAGTGCACACGTGGGATGACAACGCATACACAAATGGGCGGGGGGGTGGTGGTGGTCATATTTGTAGCGAATATGTGTCTGAGCAGGGAATTAAGTGCGAAGTTCGTGGCACCACGAACACACCAACTGCTCAGCGCAAATGTGTGTTTGCAGTGCAAGCACCCAAATGCCAGTTCACCACTGCACACACATGATTTGATCCTTCCGCATAATCGTACAAACTGGCAAAACGCCCCAATACTCTGCGTGCACGTGTCTTCGTGCACGCTTGTTCTTGATGCAAATGAGCAAATGTGAGCAAAGAATTCCAAGCACCAAAGTGTGCTCTTCCTCACACCAAGAAAGTGTTGGTCGTCGTGCGCACATGTACGAAAACACCCGATTCAATCTTCCCAAACATGTTCTTTAACTTTTAACTTTCAACTTTTAATTTTTAAACCACCAGTAACTTACTCCTTACTGCTTTCCCCCTATTTTGTTCCGACATGGCCAAAAACGCGCCGCGAGCTTCAGGACTCCACCTACCGCCGGACTTAAATGGTTGCCCGCTGCAGGTGGGGAAAAAACAAACGAGCAAAAAAACATGCCCGGCGCCCACGGCAATTCGTTGCTTACCTGCGTGAACTCTGCGTCAGGAAAAGGGAGGCCCTCTGCGAAAGGAAGTCATGGTAGTTTAGTCCCAGCAAAGCGCTTAGAAATCTTCTGCCGAGGTGGCCTGTTGTGGAAGCCCTCTGAATCCATAGCAGTAGAGGGGGTCATGTTCGCAATGGGAACAGATCTCATTCATGGCAACTGCAGCGCCAATTCTGTTTACCTCCCCGCCGCTGAAAAATCCACATCAGAAATCCGCGTCAGGAAAGAGCGGCTCAGATTCAATTTTAGTCCCAGCAAAGATCTGTCGAAGAGGTGGACGGACTGTCACCGCATGTTGGCAATCCGAATAACAAATCTCTGTCGTACGATGATGTGCAGAGCAGCAATGCCGAATGCATGTGTCGTTCCCATACCAGCAGCTCTTCACAGCCCACTGACCCACTGAATCTGATCAGCATCCTTTTTCTCTTTTTTTTTTTCCTTCTTCGGTCTCCTTTGTGTCGATTACCCATGCGGCTGCTGCCGGCTACAGACAGGGAAGCCCATTTCCAAATACCCAGTGATCCCCGCAGTGATATGCTGTCCAGGCTTGACGGGTCCAACTCCTGGCGGTGTCCCTGAGAGTCATCAAAGGACACAAGCACACATGAAACAGCCACACCCATGCAGATGGGCAGAGAGAACACTCAGTCTGATGAAAACCCTAAGAAGAAGAGAGACCGCACTGGACGGCTGACAAGGCAAGGAGAGAAGACAGCCACGCCCACGCAAGGGTCGAGCGAACACCGAGTATGACGGCATTCTTGGACGATGATAAAGACATCGACCGCTGACAGGAGGACAGGAAACAGCCGCATCCATGCAGGAGTGGAGAGAATACTGAATCAGTGTATCTACTGATATCCTTTGGAAGATGAGAAAAGAACTAGACGGCTGGCGCATGCGATAAGCAACATGGCAAAAAGCAGGGCTAATCGAGCATAGGGCGCTGTACGTGTTTTTCTTTTTTTTGGGGGGGGAAGGTGCTTTGTACATGCTTGCGGACATTGGCCGCACAACAGGATGATATGCAGCAGCAGCACAGGAAGCACATATTTCTGAAGAGTCCATTTGACAAGTTACTTCAATAAGCTTCTAAGTTATAAACTTTTAAAAAGTGTATTAAACTTAATTAAAGTTAATTACACTGTATTTACTATTTACTATTTACGTGTTTTCGACTTCTCATTGCTTTTTGACTGCTCTGCAAGGTGTCAATTCTTCAATTCAACACAAGTTCGTCAGCGATAGTGTTGCACTAAACAGTAAAAACTAAACAGTAAAAAACTAAACAGTACAAACTAAACAGTAAAAAACTAAACAGTACAAACTAAACAGTAAAAAACTAAACAGTTGTTACTAAAAGTCATTCAAATTTCAAACTCAATTCCGAAAAGGGTTCAAGTGTTTGTAACGAGCCACTGCTCGTATTCAACACAAGTTGGTGTGCAGTATTATTTTAACTGGACAGTAAAAGGTTACTAAAACCCGATTCGGCAAATTTAAAGGAGAGGAAAAGGTAATAAAAAATGAAGCGGACTACGTAGAATTTGGTTAACTATAACTCTACAAGCTCCATTAATAATAAAATTCCCTCTGGCCGTCATTATTGGAATGTTGCCGATTAGTATTAGTTCACTTTTCGTTTACGAGGGTAATAAGTACTAATAACTTAATAAGAAGTATTAAAAACTCAAGCCATTCATTGGTTAAAATGAGGGATTAGGCAGACATCGAGTGAACAACAAGCATTAGTCGACGTTAATCACTCTCTCTCTCTCTCTCTCTCTCTCTCTCTCTCTCTCTCTCTCTCTCTCACACACACACACACACACACACACACACACACACACACACACACACACACCACTTAAAGCATAATGTAGGTCTTGTGTGACACTATCTCGCAAGATACAGGGAGCTGCTTGCGCCCAGGGACAGTAGAGCACAGAGACGGCCTAGGCCCAGTTTGTTGTCATCTTCTTTTCTTTGTTGTTGTGCCACACTATTTTGGCTTTTTTTTTCTTGTTGTTGTTGGGCCAGCGGTGCATAGTGGGGTTTGCAGTTTTCTGAGCAACAGTGCGACACATTTTTTTTTGCCTTTGTTCTTATCATGGCGGGTTTTGTAGCTTTTGCACAATACATGTACTTGGTTTATGTTCTTTTTGTGGCTGGTTTTGTAGTTTTCCATACAGAGTCATTATGGACACGTAATTTTACTAATTTACAAATTTTGCTTGGTTTTCTTTTTGCGGCGGGGTTTCGTAGTTTCCCACATGACACATGCAATTTGTTCTTTGTTTTTCATGGCAACCGCGGACCCGGACCCGGACCGGGACACCCAGACATTTGTGTGGACTGGTCCAGATGTCCAGTAATCCGGACAGGCACCGGACAACCGCAGGAAAGGACCCGGACCGTCTGGACCAGTACACCAGGCACAAAAAAAAAAAAAAAACTGTCCGGACTCCGGACTGGAAAAAACAACAACAAAAAAAAAAAAGCATTTGTACAAAAGAAAAAACAAAAAGCGGGATTTGGTGTGGGACCCGGGGGAATGGCAGTGGTCGGCGTGCAGGATGCAAAAGACGACGGTGCAGCTCCAGTGTCTTACCACGAAGAACATCTAGCTCTCTGCTGGATCTGGTGGATATATGCGGTGAGTTGAAAAATGGATGGGCTAAGAGAGGGAGTGGATCCCAGATGTATACATCAATAGATGGACTCAGCGTAGATGGAACGAACAAAATGCTATTTTGGCTGCCCTGCCAGGCCAGAAGCAGGCAGGCCTGCGGTGGCAACTATACCATTTGGCAATCCCCACAGCACAATGGCTTGCAGGCGTTGCAGCAAGGAGTCGACTCAAAGACCAGCTATGTGCAGCAGGATGCGGCCAAGTGGAGACCATTCCGCACCTCTGTGTGAGGTGCCCAGTGGTCCCGGACCTTCTCGGAATGGTGGGCGCAGGAAACGGCGGACAAAACCCCCTTGGGGGTCACAGAGACGGATGATGCAATTATCCTCCTGGGGGCTCTGATGAGGGTGGAGTCGGTAGACAGATCACAGCCGGAGGACTGGATGGCCCTAGAAATCATTAGGGCAGCAGTGTTGTGGGCGCTGTGGACTTTCGAGGAATGAGCGACGTAGGCAGCGGCAAAATCCACCACCACTGCGGGCGTACCAAGAAAGGGCGATGGAGAATATTAGAATCGCCCTCTTCACAGATTGGCAGCGCTGCACGCATATAAGGAGGGCAGGAGGGAGGCTTTCGGGCACGATGGGACCCTTCCCCGCGATTGCTTACCCGACACCCTCAGATGGGCCAGATGCAGCTGGGCCCTGGCCTGGTGCGTCATGTACCACCTCACCGACTGATGCAGAGGGAGAAGAAGAGAATGACTAGACAGAGGGGGATAAAGCATCATGAGAACGGCCGGTCTCTATCATAAGTAGAATGTGGGAAATGGGGGATAGGAGGGAGAACAGAGACTTGAGAATGGCGGTAGATGTAGAAGAG